AAATGATTATAGAAACCTCTCAACCCCAGTCACCCCCATATCAACCAAACACAACCAGAAACACACCACACTTCATAGCCCCCCCCCCGAAGCACTATTTTCACAATCACAGCAGCCTCCCATAATATTCTGCCCTGCCTCCCACACCCCCAGCATGCACCATCCTCTTCCACCTCCTAAAATACAGTATTGGAAAGGAAGCTAAAGGCATGGTACACCAATACATATGGAATAGCAAATAAGAATGAAGAGTGGCAAGAATGAATCATTGATGCATCCCCTGATATCATAGCAATAACAGAGACAAAAATTACAACGATGATAACAGATGCAATCTTTCCAACTGGATATCAGATCCTGGGGAAAGACAGAGAGAACAGAGGAGGGGGAGGAATGGACAGAGGGGAAACAGACGACTTCACTGGAGGAACACTTCGGACTGGGGGTCCAAAGGTGATGATAGTAGTGATGTATAACCCACCAGTGAACAGCTTCATGCAAATTCTTGCATGAAGTGCGGTGGGAAAGGGAACTAGAGGAAAAGACAGTATATGAACTGATGGAACTAGTAACCACTAAGTGCAGGGATGCAAAGGAGAAGTTTATACCAAAGGGTAACAGAAAAATTGGTAAGACCAGAGTGAGCCCATGGTTTAACTGGAGGTGTAAAGAGGCCAAAGCCAAGTGTGCTAGAGCATGGAGAGAGTATAGAAGGCATAGGACTTAAGAAAACAAAGGGATGAGCAGAAAAAACAGAAACGAATATGCAGGGATAATAAGCACGACATAGCATGTAAAGCCAAATCTCAACCAAAGTTGTTATACAGTCACATTAAGAGAAAATCAACAGTTAAAGACCAGGTAATCAGGCTGAGGAAAGAAGGAGGGGAGCTCGCAAAGAGTGACCAGGAAGTATGTGATGAACTTAACACAACATTTACAGAAATATGCACAATAGAGACAGAAATGCTTCTAGCGAACCATGAAAGTAGGGTACACCAGCAAGTGCTGGACACAATACACATAACCAAGGAGGAGGTGAAGAAACTGCTATGTGAACTAGATACCTCTAAGGCGGTGGGCCCAGATAACATATCTCCATGGATCCTGAGAGAAGGAGCTGAGGAACTGTGTGCGCCTCTAGCTGCAATTTTCAATAAATCTATCGAAACTGGGCAATTGCCTGAGGCGTGGAAGACAGCAAATGTAGTTACAATTTTTAAGAAAGGAGACAGAGAGGCAGCATTAAACTACAGACCAGTGTCACTGACTTGTATAGTATGTAAAATCTTGGAAAAGATGAGGCAGAGAAGAGTGGTGGAGCACATTGAAAGGATTGGGCTCATACATGAAAATCAGCACAGATTCAGAGATGGGAAATCCTGTGTCACACATCTACTTGAGTTCTACGATAAGATAACAGAATTAAGACAGGAGAGAGAGGGATGGGTAGATTGCACCTTTTTGGACTGCAAGAAAGCTTTTGACAGAGCACCACACAAGAGACTGGTACAAAAATTAGAGGAGCAGGCAGGAATAGTAGGGAAAGTACTGCAATGAGGAAGGGAATACCTGACAAGAAGGAAACAACGAGTGTTGGTACGTGATGAAGTGTCAGAGTGGGTGCATGTGCCGAGTGAGGTTCCACAAGGGTCAGTCCTAGGTCCGGTGCTGTTTCTTGTATATGTGAATGACATGGTGGAAGGAATAGATTCAGAAGTGTCACTGTTCGCTGATGATGTGAAACTGATGAGGAGAATAGAAGCGGGCGAGGATCAGCTAAGATTACAAGGGTATCCGGACAGACTACAAGTCTAGTCCGACAAATGGATCCTGGAGTTTAACCCCAGTAAGTGCAAAATCATGAAGATTGGGGTATAATGTTGGTAGAATTACTGGCAATATGTAAAGTAAAATGACACAAGTGCAACTAATATGACATTTTTATTGTGACAACGTTTCGCTCTCCAGGGCTTGACAAAGCTCCTGGAGAGCGAAACGTTGCCACAATAAAAATGTCACATTATTTGCACTTGTGTCCTTTTACTTTACAAGATTGGGGAAGGACGAAGAAGACCGCAGACGGAGTACAGGTTAGGATATCAAAGGCTGCAAACGTCACATAAAGAAAAGGATCTTCGGGTAAGCATTTTAACGAACATATCCCCTGAGGCACGCATCGATCAAATAACTGCTGTAGCATATGGACGCTTGGCAAACCTGAGAATAGCATTTCTACATCTGAGTAAGGAATCATTTACGACATTGTACACCGTGTACGTCAGGCCCATATTGGAGTATGCAGCACCAGTATGGAACCCACACTTAGTCAAATACGTCAAGAAGTTTGCAACAAGATTAGTCCTGGAACTGAAGGGTAAGTCTTACGAGGAGAGATTAAGGGAACTCAACCTGATGACACTAGAGGATAGGAGTAAGGGGGACATGATAACAACGCATAAAATACTGAGAGGAATTGACACGGTGGAAACGGCTCGAGTGTTTCAGAGATGGGATACAGCAACAATGGGCCACAGTTGGAAGTTGAAAACCCACTTGAGTCATAGGGATGTTAGGAAGTATTTCTTTAGCTTTAGAGTTGTCAGGAAGTGGAATAATCTGGAAAGTGAAGAGGTATGATAAAGCTTACGGAGCTGGGAGAGAGTGATTTAGTTTCGACCAGTGAAGAGGCGGGGCCAGGAGCTATGAATCGACCCCTGTAACCACATATAGGTGAGTACACACACACACACACACACACACACACACACACACACACACACACACACACACACACACACACACACACGCACGCACGCACACGCACACGCACACGCACACGCACACATGTCAGCATAGTTGCTGATCCCCTGTATGTTTGTGTAGCATATCTGAGTATCGTAGTTAGTACCATCTATATATTTTATATAGACGATCCCTTGCTAGGCCTAGGGGCTAGCATGTGACGTCACGTGATGCCACATGTGAGCGTCATTCGCCCTGCCTCTCTCTCAGTTCCCGGATAGACCCACAGGCAAGAACAAGGTTAGGCTGGGCTGGGCTCTCCCTCACGACTCTGCAAATATAAGTGTTACCAGTCGTACCCAAGCTATTTAATTTGCCAAGAAAATGGTGTATATCTACATTTGGTGTATATACACCATTTCCTTGGCAAATTAAATAGTTTAGCCCATTCTATAAACTTTAATGTTGAGTTTGAAGAAAATAACTCATTGCCTTTTCTAGATGTTTTAATTATTAAGGATAATAATGAATTCAAATTTAAAGTTTACAGAAAACCTACAAATAACTGTTCCTATGTCCACTATTATTCTTCGCATCAAGATAGAGTTAAACTGTCTGTTTTCTCATCAATGTTTTTGAGAGCTTTACGAATTTGTAGTCCAGAGTTCATAGATCAGGAAATATCCAAAATTTATGAAATAGGTAATGATTTGAAATATCCAAGAAATGTAATTGATAAATCTTTTAAAGTTGCTAGAAATACTTTTTACAATCCAAAAAGGGACAACCAGCCTTATTCAACTAAAAATATGTTGGTTCTCCCTTACCATGAAAACTTGGTTGATATGCCTTCTCTTCTTAAGACTTTTAATATTAAAGTTGTATTCAAAAATCTTGATACAGTAAAAAAACTTTTGATAAAGAATTCCCCCCAAAATGCTGATGGATGTGTCTATGAGATTCCTTGTAAAATTTGCGATAAAGTTTATTACGGTCAAACTGGTAAAAATCTCGAACTAAGATTAAAACAACATAAATACAGCATTAGAACTGGACAAGATTCCAATGCTCTATTTATTCATGTGAGAGATTTTAACCATCCAATTGATTTTCAAAAAGTTGAGAAAGTTGTATCAAGCAAGTCCATGGTCGACAGGAATATAATTGAATCTTGTTTCATAAAAAGCAGTTTTGACAATAATATGAATATTTCCTTTGGTTTATATAAATTAGATCCATTTATAATTAATAGAATTTGGGAAGAATTTAATAATACATTAGACAAATAATAATGTTTAAAATTCTTATTTCTTGGGTAGAATAGTTTGTTGGTGGGTTGTGTGAAGGACCTGTCTAGTTGGGCCGGCGGGCCTGCTGCAGTGTTCTCTCTCTTACGAGTGGCGTGTCAGGTGTTCCTTTGTTGTGGGATCTGATAGTGAGGTGTGGGCTAGACCCTTCATATACCTTCATTTGATGCTCTACTTTCATTGTTCCTTGATAATGTGAGTAGTCACGAAAGCGCTTGGAATTTCTCTATTCTTTCACAGTGGTTGTTTTGCATATTCTGAAATCACCTGTTTACTGTGATCTTATTGCGCATATATATATATATATATAATATATATATATATATATATATATATATATATATATATATATATATATATATATATATATATATATATATACTGAATATCCAGTATAGTTTTGAAATCCCAATAAGCGCATTACGTTTCTTTAGTTTATAATTTATGTGACTCTTATAGCAGCTTCATTTTACTTTATAGGCAGCAGTTTTTCTTCTATGTGAGTTCCCCCCGTTTTTGTTTTTTACCCTAATCACTTATGTGGTGTTTTTTACTATAAAGCTTTTCAGTGAAATGCTTCTAGGAAGGCGCCCTGGTGCTAGCAAGGAGCTACTGATCCAAATAATCGAAGCTCTTGTTCTTGTCGTTGAATTTAACAGGATTGGTACCTATTCTTCATGTACTGTGTGACCCCTACGGGCTTAGCTCCCACCCCTATGAATGCAATAATAATAATTATAATTTATAGTGTGACGGGCCTATAGTTTAAATGGTCATCCATGTCCCCCTCTTTTATAACATCGTCACACTACTTACTCTTGACCATTAGCTCTCTACTTAAATTTATACTTATCTGCTTCTTCGCTCAGTCTCCCCTCCCAGCCTCATTCACTTTCTTCTTCTCTCTTCCTCCACAACATCATTCACTCTCTTCCCTCCTCCTTACAGAGCTCGTGCACCATCGACGTCACCTACTTCCCCTTCGACCAGCAAACTTGTCTCATGAAGTTCGGCTCGTGGACCTTCAACGGCGACCAGGTCTCCTTGTCCCTCTACAACGACAAGAACTTCGTCGACCTCTCAGACTACTGGAAGTCAGGCACCTGGGACATTGTGGAGGTAGGTGAGGGAAGGTACGTGAGGGGCAATGGAGGTGAAGGAAGAGGGAGGAGAAAAGGAGGTGAAGGCAAGGGGAAGAAATAACAAGAGCGATGGGAAGAAGACTAAAGGAATAAAAGATCAAGAAGAGAAAGATCTGGCTGTCATTTTCGTTTTGGAAACACATCGTTATGCTAGTCCTTACCACAGAGGAGTTAGTAGCAGAGTTTGTGTTCTAACATACACACGCATGCAGAGCTGAGTCTCGACCCCTGCCACTACGATTAGGTGAGTACACTCACACACACATACACACTGTGGATAATGCAATAAAACTGAGACGGAACGCAAAAAACTGACAAGACAACACGAGATAAACGGGATGATAAATGAAGAAAGCCGGATTCAGTAAGAAGAAATGTAAGCAGGAATGGAAGACAGGATCCAATAGGAAACGGAAAAGAATGAATGAAACATTCAGCGTTATTAGAGAGGAAGTAGTAAAGATGGAGACACTCTTAGCAGATGACTGGAAAAGCTCCTGGTAAGGGGCGAACAGGTTCTAATTTATACAGAAAATGGGTAATAGAGAATGACCTGGCGTGAAGAAGATAAGGGGTAAAGGACTGATGGGAGAAAGAGAGAGAGATGGAGGGAAAGAAAGCAAAGAACACTGGACATTATTAGCGCCGAAAATTCATCAAAACTGAAAAATGAGGAGTTCACCGAGGACAGACTTTACTTGCTCCGTTATTGAAACAAATGGAGAAAACCAGAACAAAAAACAAAATGTAATCAACTCTCTCTCTCTGTCTCTGTCTGTCTGTCTTTTTTTTTTTTTTACACAGGGTTTGACAAGGTTAAGGATCAATAACTTAACTGACAAGCTATTTACAGGTTCTCTCTCTCTCTCTCTTCCCTCATCCGCCTTCTCTCTCCTTTATTGTGCTCTTTTTAAATTCATATTTCTTGTTTTTTTTTCCCCAAAATTGCACTTGCTGGAACTTGATGTCACTGAGAATCACATTGGTGTGTGTGGCACAGGAAGATGTGGTGTTGCACTAGCCAGCTGTCAGCCATCAACATCCTGCAACACTAACGAGCTTCGTTGCTTCATGCAAGGTTTTTTTTTTATTTACGGTAATGAGATAGGAAAAAAAGTTTAACCCACCCCGTTTCCCTCTCCTAGCCCTCTCCCATCCCAGATTTTTTTATGGTTTCACCCATTATAGAAATTAGTGTACAGAGAAAAATGACTGAGGAAGGCTGGATGAAATTTTTCTTGTTAACGAGTCAGACTTGTACTTCCGTTGCTGAACTATAAATTATATTAGTAAATGCATCAAACTACATAAAGAGTGCCCATAACGGTTCTAATTGCACCTGAACTCATCAAAACTACACAGAGAACACCTATAAAAGACCGGAAACACCTACAGTCATCGTCACCAGCTCTGCACTGCCGGCGTCACACGTACCCATGGAAATAAAGAAAAAGCAGTAGCTGACACAGTACGCAAGGAACACGTTACACTACATGAAAACCTAATGTGGGTGCATGTACAGCGTAAGGGACAAGAGGGAGGGAGGGAGGGTTTTGACGGAGGCCGTCAAGAACAGTGGCTGAGTGAGGACTCTGGGAAAGCCACTTTTCAATACCCCCGACAGTCGTTTTCATACACTTAAGGTCATCTAGAGGAGAATCTTCGAAAACACTTGTTTGTTAACTTTAGTGACCTACTATTTCATTAGAGTGACACGAACATGAAGATAAGGCAGCTTGGATATGAGGAATTCAGCTACGAACTGACACTCTCGCCTTATCGTGAAAATAACAACCTGTGTAAGGAAGATTGGAAGCCGAACTTGCATCCTTCACGAACAGGATATCTTTCGTACATTATGTGGCTGAGTCAGTGTTGCTATGAACTTGCAATTGCAAGAATACTAATTCGGTCTCTAATATTCCTTACATAAAATCTCAGTCACTCTGGACTACATTCGCAATTTATATACCTTATACGAAGCCTCAAATGTCAAGCCCTAATCTCAAACCCTATATGGAAGTAAGGGGCTAAGGGACAGCAGACGTATGTGTGCCAAACTGAAAAATTGTACACTAGCATCTGTTGAGGAGAGTATTCTTCACTCGCACCTGAATCTACTACCTTCATAAATTCAGGGAGGAAAAAAAAACCCTTACCGGTCAGGCCGCAACGTTATCTGCATAACCAAAAATTTATGGAGAGACAGACGACCCAGCACCGGGCAAGGCATCCGGTCATTACCACATACCAACAGAAATATAATTTTTTATACCAACGCCTGCTGCCTCAGGAAAGTCCGGTGCAGGTGAATATTCAATATAAAAGTCGGATATGTGCAACCATCGGCTACCATAGGGATACTGGCTGCCCCACCGTCACGTGACACACCGTCCCACTGTGTGGGACGGTGTGTCACGTGATTACAGACAAGTGTCAGGTTATTTTCCTTGACGAATAAACCAGTAGCCAAGTTCATCTGATAGATCATAATTACAGGAAGGACCTACCATCCCTATTAAAGATGTCGGCGAAATTTACTCCACTGATCTCTACATGTAAGCAGTGAAAGCCTGCCCAGAAAAGCCCGAAAGTACCAATATGAAGTAGTAGTTACAATTTGTTGTCTGCAACACGTTGCGGGTTTGAGCATTTAGACACAAGAATACAGATCCTCGCGGCATGGTAAGATGAATTACAAGAGAAATCTTCCGTCACATTCTTAGAACCTTAATGGCTGCAACGAGAGACAACAGTATGTAAATCATTCAGCATAAGGTGTGGTGAAGGCTTGTTCCTCCTCTCATCGTTCGCAGCTTGGTCTCTGATCAGTCAAGCTGTTGATAATTACAATAATAAAGCACAACAACCCATCTTCCACCATCAATCACGATCGTGCAGTTTCCGGCTATTTAAGAGAAAGTAATGTCCTTTCCAAACCCCAGCATCCACTGTTTTCCCGATTATGTACTTTGGTTTTCATGATTAACTATCCTAACATCTAGTAACTAATATTTTGCTTAAGTGTCGACTTTAATTGTACAGAAATTGAACGCGCTATAACGTGTTCTAAAACTACCTGGATATCTGGACGAGTTTCTAAAACACTTTGTCAGTAAACAAGAGAGAGGGAGGAGCTGAACGACCGTCCTGGGCCAGGGTCAGTAGGCAAATGACCAGGAGAGTAATTGCAACCAATATCTTTGTCATTCGTTAGTTCTGTAGTGACGAGCAGTTCATGGAGATACTCTCAACAGTGTGAAGTGACCATCAAGCACTGGTTGGAGACATTCTTAGAATTGTGACGGTAGCTGCCATAAGCACTGGAGTAAATCACTATTTGACTTGTTTCATTTTTTGGTCTTCAGAAGATGGTCATTGACTTGAAGCAGACGTGAGTGATGACACCGCAACAGTGGATTCCAGAGTTAATGGAAAAAATTTTATGACTTGTGTGAATTGTGCAAATACCGTAATGTTGTAGAGTTAGAGAGGAAGAGAGGAAAACTGCAATAACCAGGACGAAACCCAAACTGTCACATTAAACTTGTTTTTCCAAAAGAGGCAAAAGTTTTAGCTGGTGATGCTTTGGTAACTTTGAGAATGGCTGAGCTCAGGAGGGTCTGTCCGTAGTTACAGGCGGACGTGAAGCCTACTCCGCCTCTCAGCATAGTTACAGGCGAATGTGAAGCCTATTCTATTTCTCAGCATAGTTACAGGCGGACGTGAAGCCTACTCCGCCTCTCAGCATAGTTACAGGCGAACGTGAAGCTTACTTCACCTCTCAGCATAGTTACAGGCGGACGTGAAGCCTAATCCACCTCTCAGTATTGGCTCCAAGAAGTTTCCATGACTTGAAGAGAGTGTATGAGCAAATTTGAAACGGAAAGTTTGCGAGTGAATGAAGTCTTCATGTATCCACTCTTGGTCTGGAATAACGGAAAGTAGATTAATTATCCACTTTGTTAGGGATTACTCATGAAGGGATAATGAATGATAAGTGAGACATACAGTATATATAACACTTACGTGTTGCTCATGTGTCATATTCATCTGCTTGTCGACATTGTTTGTTATTTATAATATGAGAGATAATGTTTGTTAGGGATGAATGTTAGAGATTATTTATGTTATATTGTATTAGGGATTATGTTTGTTAGGGAGTATGTATGCTAGGGACAATGTAATAGGGATTATGCTTGTTAGGGACAATGTAATAGGGATTATGCTTGTTAGGGATTATGTTTGTTAGGGATTATATTTGTTAGGTATCATGTATGTTATGGATTACGTTTGTTAGGGATTATGCTTGTTCGGGATTATGTTAGGGATTATATTTGTTAGGGATTATGTTTGTTAGGGATTATCTATGGTACGAATTACGTTTCATAGGGATTATGTGTATTAGGGATTATGTATGTCATGGATTATATACTTTGGGTATTATGCATGTTAGTAATTAAGTTTTCTTGAGGCTTGTGTATTCTCTATATGTGGCATTTGACTTACAACTTCTGAAAGGCCACAGGCGAAAGTTTTGACTGAATGAGAAAGTGTAAGATAGTGCTTTTTAATCTGTGTGATGCTAGCAGAATTTAGCTTCTTTACCCCGTGTACTGCAAACACTGACTCAGAACCCTGTGAGCTGGAAAAAAATAGTTGACCTAGTGGATTGGAAGCATTATTAACCTCAAACCTCATCTGTTTTAAACTATGCTAACCAATTGTATTAATGTTGGTAGAATTACCGACAATATGTTAAGTAAGAGGACACAAGTGCAACTAATGTGACGTATTATTGTGCCAACGTTTCGCTCTCCAGGAGCTTTCTCAAGCCGGTTACGGCTTGAAAAAGCTACTGGAGAGCAAAACGTTGCCACAATAAAATGTCTCATTAGTTGCACTTGTGTCCTTCCACTTAACATATTAACCAATGATTAAATGTAATGGAAGCATCATTATTATTCTTTGACGCAGTGTGCCACAGGTAATATCTGTCCATGTGTGTTTTAATTACTAACCTTTGACTCCGTATGTTTTAAACACTGACCTTTGATCCCCCGTGAGTTTCAAACGCAAAAGCCTCTGATTTTCGTTTGTTTAGAGGACTAACCCCAGGCTCCTGTGTACTTCCAACGCTAACTCCTGGCCCTTCCTGTGCTTTAAAGACTAATTATGACACTTCGTGTGCTTCAAACACTAATTTCTGAACCTCCGTGTGCTTCTAAGACTAACCAGTGGCCGCCGTGTTGCAGGTTCCAGCCTTCCTGAACGTGATCCACAACGACCGAGGTCCCACAGAGACAGACATAACCTTCTACATCACCATCAGGAGGAAGACTCTCTTCTATACCGTCAACTTGATCCTCCCCACTGTGCTCATCTCCTTCCTCTGCATCCTCGTCTTCTATCTCCCCGCTGAGGCAGGAGAAAAGGTGAGATATAGGAGAGGAAGAAAGAATTAGGAAATGGCCGGTTTGTAAGGGGTAGGAGGAAGGAAGAGGCAGAAGACATGAGAGGACCTAGAGAATGATATACGGTGGGGTAATAGTAATGAGGGATAGGGTGATAATGAGGAGAGGGCTGATAGGAAGATAGGAGGTGGAGGAGAGGGTGCAAAGGAATAGAAATGCACAAGAAGCCGAAACAAAAGATATATATATATATATATATATATATATATATATATATATATATATATATATATATATATATAATATATATATTATCACACTGGCCGATTCCCACCAAGGCAGGGTGGCCCGAAAAAGAAAAACTTTCACCATCATTCACTCCATCACTGTCTTGCCAGAAGGGTGCTTTACACTACAGTTTTTAAACTGCAACATTAACACTACTATATATATATATATATATATATATATATATATATATATATATATATATATATATATATATATATATATATATATATAATATAGTAGTAGTAGTAGTAAGCGCTAGTAGCAGCAGTAATAGTAATAGCGCTAGTAGTAGTACAAATAGTTAATGACTAAACCCGCTGAAGCCGTACTGCACCTGTGGAATGGGAGGTAATCAGGTTAGATATGAGAGAGAGAGAACGAGAGAGAGAGAGAGAACGAGAGAGAGAGAACGAGAGAGAGAGAACGAGAGAGAGAACGAGAGAGAGAACGAGAGAGAGAGAGAGAACGAGAGAGAGAACGAGAGAGAGAACGAGAGAGAGAACGAGAGAGAGAACGAGAGAGAGAACGAGAGAGAGAGAGAACGAGAGAGAACGAGAGAGAACGAGAGAGAACGAGAGAGAGAGAACGAGAGAGAACGAGAGAGAGAGAACGAGAGAGAACGAGAGAGAACGAGAGAGAACGAGAGAGAACGAGAGAGAGAACGAGAGAGAGAACGAGAGAGAGAGAACGAGAGAGAACGAGAGAGAGAGAACGAGAGAGAGAACGAGAGAGAGAACGAGAAAGAGAGAGAACGAGAGAAAGAGAGAACGAGAGAAAGAGAGAACGAGAGAAAGAGAGAACGAGAGAGAGAGAGAGAGAGAGAGAGAGAGAGAGAGAGAGAGAGTATGTATGTGTGTGTACTCACCTAATTGTGGTTGCAGAGGTCGAGCCATAGCTGCTGGCCCCGCCTCTTCACTGGTCACTACTAGGTCCACTCTCTCCCTGGTCCATGAGCTTTATCATACCTCTTCTTAATGTTATGTATGGTACCTGCCTCCACTAACTTACTTTCCAGACTATTCTACTTCCTGACAACTCTTTCACTGAAGAAGTACTTCCTAACATCCCTTTGACTCATCGGAGTCTTCAATTTCCAATTGTGACCTTTTGTTTCTGTGTCCAATCTCTGGAACATCCTGTCGCTATCGACAATGTCAATTCCTCACACTATTTTATATGTCGCTGGCATGTGTCCCTTGTCCCTCCTGTCCTCCACTGTCATCAGGTTGAGTTCTCTTAACCTCTCTTCCAGGACTAGTCTCGTTGCAAACCTTTGCACTTTCTCTGGTTTCCTGACGTGCTTGGCCAAGTGTGGGTTCCAAACCGGAATGCCTACTCCAATATGGGCCTGTCGTATACGGTGTACATGGTACGGAACGACTCCTTACTGAGACGTCGGAATGCTATTCTTAGGTTCGCTAGTCGCCCATATGCTGCAGCAGTTATTTGCTTGACGTGCGCCTAAGGAAATGTGTATTATTATGTGTGTATTATACACACTCCAAGATCCTTTTCCTTGAGTGACGTTTGTAGTCTTTGCCCCCTAGGCTGTACTGTCTGCAGTCTTCTTTGCCCTTTCCTGGTCTTCATAATTTTGCACTTGGTGCAGTTGAACTCCAGGAGCCAGCCGCTGGACCAGGCCTGCAGCCTGTCCAGATTCCTTATCCTCCTCCGACTGAATTCTCCTCATTAACGTCACATCATCTGCAAATAGGGACACTTCTGAGTCTATTCCTTCCGTCATGTCATTCACATATACCAAAAACAGCACCAGTCCAATGACTGACCCCCTGTGGAACCCCGCTCCTCAAAGGCGCCCACTCTGACACCTCATCATGTACCATGACTCGCTGATGCCTTCCCGTCAGGTATTCTCTGATTAATTGTAGTGCCTTCCCAGTTATACCTGCCTGGTCCTCCAGCTTTTGCACTAGTCTCCTGTGTGCAACTGTGTCAAAAGCCTTCTTATAATCCAAGAAAATGCAATATACCCATTCCTCTCGTCTTACTACTGTCACCTTGTCATATAACTCTAGTACATTTCTGACACAGGATTTCCCGTCTCTGAAACCGTGATGGTTGCTGTTTATAAGCTCATTCCTTTCTAGGTGCTCCACCACTCTTCTCCTGATAATCGTCTCCATGACTTTGCATACACGTCAGTGACACTGGTCACTGACGGAGGGAGGTGAAAGTGTATAAACTAAGGGAGGAGGAAGTTCGGGTGAAATATAAGCAACTATTGACAGAAAGGTGGACTGGTGCAGGTATGAGTAGTAGTGGGGGGTTGAAGAGGGTTGGAATAGTTTTAAAAATGCAGTATTAGAATGTGGGGCAGAAGTTTGTGGCTATAGGAGGGTGGGTGCAGGAGGAAAGAGGAGTGATTGGTGGAATGATGAAGTAAAGGGTGTGATAAAAGAGAAAAAGGTAGCTTACGAGAGGCATTTACAAAGCAGAAGTGTTATAAGAAGAGTAGAGTATATGGAGTGTAAAAGAAAGGTAAAGAGAGTAGTGAGAGTACAAAAGGAGGGCAGATGACAGAGTGGGAGAGGTACTGTCTAGGAATTTTAATGAAAATAAGAAAAATAATTGGAGTGAGTTAAACAAGTTAAGAAAACCTAGGGAACAAATGGATTTATCAGTTAAAAACAGAGAAGGGGTTAGTAGATGGGGAGATGGAGGTTTTGGGTAGATGGCGAGAATATTTTGAGGAACTTTTAAATGTCGACGAAGAAAGGGAGGCGGTAATTTCATGCACTGGTCAGGGAGGTATATCATCTTTTAGGAGTGAAGAAGAGCAGGATGTGAGTGTGGGGAAGGTGCGTGAGGCATTACGTAGAATCAAAGGGGGTAAAGCACCTAGAACTTACGGGATCATTACAGAAATGTTAAAGCAGGGGGGGACATAGTGTTGGAGTGGTTGGTATTTTTGTTTAATAAATGTATGAAAGAGGGGAAGGTACCTAATATATAAAGGAAAGGGGTACAAAAGAGATTGTAAAAATTATAGAGGAATAAGTTTACTGAGTATACCAGGAAAAGTGTACGGTAGGGTTATTATTGAAAGAATTAAAGGTATGACAGAATGTAGAATTGCGGATGAGAAAGGTTTTAGAGTGGGTAGGGGATGTGTAGATCAAGTGTTTACATTGAAGCATATATGTGAGCAGTATTTAGATAAAGATAGGGAAGTTTTTATTGCATTTATGGATTTAGAAAAGGCATATGATAGAGTGGATAGGGGAGCAATGTGGCAGATGTTGCAAGTATATGGAATAGGTGATAAGTTGCTAAATGCTGTAAAGGGTTTTTATGAGGATAGTGAGGCTCAGGTTAGGGTGTGTAGAAGAGAGGGAAACTATTTCCCGGTAAAAGTAGGTCTTAGTAACTTCTTTCTCCTGTATAAACTACTAAAAACAAGGAAAAAAGAACTTTATAAAATTGGGATGTTTGAATGTGTGTGGATGTAGTGTGGATAATAAGATAGGAATGATTGCTAATGGTATGAAAGAGATGAAGTTGGATGTGCTATCCCTAAGCGAAACAAAGTTGAAGGGGGTAGGGGAGTTTTAGTGGGAAGAAATAAATGGGATTAAGTCAGAAGTATCTGAGAGAGTTAGAGCTAAGGAAGGGGCAGCAATAATGTTGAAGGATCAGTTATGAAGAGAGAAGAGGGAATATAAATGTATCAGTTCAAGGATTATGTGGATTTAAATAAGGGTAGGATGTGAAAAGTGGGTCATAATAAGTGAAATGCACCTGGAAAAGAGAGGAGTGTAGAGGAGAGAGAGAGATTTTGGAAGATATTAAGTGTGTAGGAACTTTTGAGCCAAGTGAGAGAGTACTTGTGGTAGGGGACCTAAATGCTAAATGCGTTTAGCCGTAAATTTCCTTGCGTCCATCCCTATTTTTTTTTTTTTTTTTCATTTATTCGTAAGTTTCTTTGCGTCAATTTCTTAATTTTCTTGAATTCTTCTATGAATTTTCCTATGCTTATTCCCAAATTTTCCTTAATTTATCATACAGTTTTCCCCATTGTTGGTCCATACTTTTCTTTGAGTTTGCATTGAGCGAGAGTTGCACTGTGAGGTTTTACCTTGTTCCAAGGTTCGTAGGTTCGAGTCTCCTTCAGCCAGAGTTCAGTGTTTGTGTATATTTCGCCTACTCTTGCGAATTCCTTGCATTATTAATGTCACTAGTAAGACTGATGCATGCAGGGGATGAGATGAAAAGCTGTAAGCCTTCTCCCTGAAAGCTGGCTGCCTTGGATCAACGTCTAGCATTGTGCTAGGCGCCAAGGTATTGTCCAGTGTGGTGAGAATGGTATAGCACTGCGTACCTTGTTCCAAGGTTCGTAGGTTCGAGTCTCCTTCAGCCAGAGATCAGTGTTTGTGTATATTTCGCCTGCTCTTGAGAATTCCTTATATATATATATATATATATATATATATATATATATATATATATATATATATATATATATATGTGTGTGTGTGTGTGTGTGTGTGTGTGTGTGTGTGTGTGTGTGTGTGTGTGTGTGTGTGTGTGTGTTTTAGTACATATCATTTTTTTATACTGAAATTTAAGTTAATACAAATTTAAAAAATCAGTTTATATGTATATTAGCAACCCAAAGAGCAATGTAAAATACGCAGAATAAAGACTAATTTTTATATAGATAAAGTTAACATATGCTAGTGCATGGATTTAATTTTGCAAGCAAACTTACCTTGTAATCCCAGTCTGTCGAAATACAATTAATTATTTGCTTAGTTTAAACGCACATGTTTCAGTTCGGACATTATATTATATTTGTTAATTTCTCCAGGTCTTCATACTTGCTCTAAGGCTGCAGCATCCACCACTTTGTCATAGCATCTCAAAGCGTTTTTTCCCCTACACAAATATATGAAGTGGTAAGGGGAGAAAATACTCAAGAGGGGTCAGCAATTAGCACCAGCGGTGATACTTCCATATAATATCGTTATACTCATAGAGCTGCATTGATTTTGTAAATAAAGTGCGATGTATGTGCGACTGTGCGTCTAAGCATTTACATACCTCAACACTATTAAATCATAATATTCATATAATGGCATATTTTCATAGACATTATACTTGCCTCAGAGAACAATACGTATTTTTAAAAGTTTAATTAAAAAAAAAAATCTAGAAAAGAGGCATTTTATAAGTGATGTCATTATAATTTAAATTGCTTTTTGGGTAACCAAAAAAAATGCTTTTCTATTAAAGAATTATTATTTGATACAACATTTTTAGCCTCATTTATATGATATATAGATTTCATATGCATATATGCGTTGATATACACTTTTATTTCTGTGTACTCTGCAAAATAACAGACACACACAACATGCACGAATATGCCCGCGTGCGCTCACTCACTCACTCACTCACTCACTCTCTCTCTCTCTCTCTCTCTCTCTCTCTCTCTCTCTCTCTCTCTCTCTCTCTCTCTCACACATACACCTACACACACACACACACACACACACACAATACCTGACAGGGAGGCAACAACGAATCATGGTACGTGACGAGGTATCAGAGTGGGTTCTTGTGACGAGCGGGGTCCCAAAGGGATCAGTCCTAGAACCATTGCTGTTTTTAATATATGTGAATGACATGATGGAAGGGATAGACTCAGAAGTGTCCCTGGTTGCAGATGATGTGAAGTTAATGAGGAGAATTAAATCAGATGAGGATCAGGCAGGACTGCAAAGAGACCTGGACAGGCTGGAAGCTTGGTCCGGCAACTGGTTCCTTAAATTTGACCTCGCTAAATGCAAAGTCATGAAGATCAGGGAAGGGCAAATAAGACCGCAGACAGAGTATAGTTTAGGTGGCCAAAGACTGCAAACCTCACACAAGAAAAAAGATCTTGGGGTGAGTATAATACCGAGCACATCTCCTGAGGTACACATCAACCAGATAACTGCTGCAGCATATGGGCGCCTGGCAAATCTGAGAACAGCGTTCCGATACCTCAATAAGGAATCGTTGAAGAATTTGTACACCTTGTACGTCAGGCCCATACTGGAGTATGCAGCACTAGTTTGGAACCCACACTTGGTCAAGCATGTCAAGAAATTAGAGAAAGTGCAACTGTTTGCAACAAGGCAAGTTAAGACTTAAGAGGAATGTCCTACGAAGAAAGTTTAAGGGAACTCACCATGACGAAACTGGAGGACAGGAGGGTTAGCGAAGACATGATAACTACATACAAAATGCTGCGAGGAATTGACAAGGTGGACAGAGACAGGATGTTCCAGAAATGGGAGACACAAACAAGGGGTCACAACTGGAAGTTGAAGACTCAGATGAGTCAAAGATATGTTAGGAAGTATTTTAGTTGTCAGGAAGTGGAATAGTCTGGCAAGTGACGTAGTGCAGGCAGGAACCATACACAGTTTTAACACGAGATATGATAAAACTCATGGAGCAGGGAGAGAGAGGACCTAGTAGCAATCAGTGAAGAGGCGGAGCCAGGAGCTATGAATCGACCCCCTGCAACCACAAATAAGTGAGTACAAATAGGTGAGTACACACACACACACACTGTGTAGACTGATACCTGGTACAAGTATTCACTGTGAAGTCTACTACCTGGTGCATGTGTTCACTGTGACGTCTCCTACCTGGTACACGTGTTCACTGTGATGTCTGCTACCTGGCACACGTGTTCACTGTGATGTCTGCTACCTGGTACACGTGTTCACTGTGAAGTCTGCTACCTGGTACACGTGATCACTGGTACACGTGTTCATTGTGAAATCTACTACATAGTACACGTGTTCATTGTGAAATCTACTACATAGTACACGTGTTCACTGTGAAGTCTGCTACCTGGTACACGTGATCACTGTGAACTATTGCCTGGTACATGTGTTCATTGTTAAATCTACTACATAGCACACGTGTTCACTGTGAAGTCTGCTACCTGGTACACGTGTTCACTGTGAAGTCTGCTACCTGGTACACGTGATCCCTGGTACACGTGTTCACTGTGATGTCTGCTACCTGGCACACGTGTTCACTGTGATGTCTGCTACCTGGTACACGTGTTCACTGTGAAGTCTGCTACCTGGTACACGTGATCACTGGTACACGTGTTCATTGTGAAATCTACTACATAGTACACGTGTTCATTGTGAAATCTACTACATAGTACACGTGTTCACTGTGAAGTCTGCTACCTGGTACACGTGATCACTGTGAACTATTGCCTGGTACATGTGTTCATTGTTAAATCTACTACATAGCACACGTGTTCACTGTGAAGTCTGCTACCTGGTACACGTGTTCACTGTGAAGCCTGCTGGTACACATGTTCACTGTGACGTCTGCTACCTGGTACACGTGTTCACTGTGACGTCTGCTACCTGGTACACGTGTTCACTGTGAAGTCTACTACCTGGTACAAATATTCACCGTGTAACTCGGCTATCTGTCATGTCCACCAGAGACAGGTCTCCATTAGCTGCTGTTTCACGATTTGATGAGATATACATCATCTCATTTTACTAAAGGGGGGCGTCGGGCAAAAAATTGTAGCTCTTTTGTTTACCGTCCGATTTCCTCCAGTTTTGGTGCACAAGACAAAGTGTTTTCACTCTTTCTTGAAAATATTTATCAAAAATATACGTCAAACAACAACTGAGAAAAGACTGATTTACTGAAAATGCCCTTGTGCCCAAATTTATTCCTATATGGGACTACGTAAGGTTGTTTGGACACTTGGTGCCGAGAGAACAATGCTTATACGTATTTACTCGAAAATCTTGCCTCTAAATAACTTATCTTAATTTCACAAAAAAAAATAAAGTTTGTTAGTTCCTGGAATGTTGCAAAAAATCTGCCCTTTACTCATACATAACTCCGAAAGTATTTGGAATATTTCCAAAAATGATATGGGGCTAAATAGAGAAATCATTATTCTACAATTTCTGTGAATATTATTCCATTTAATTAAGTAATAAAGGAAGAATTATGGAATTTAGGTGAATAAATTACTTCCGAGATATTGGCCTGGAGCGCCGGCCGGCCCCCCGTCTAGAAAAAAAAAACGCGAAGAAAATCGCGTTTATTTCGGTGTATTTCTTAGTGAACTGGTGTTCTAGTGCAGTTATCCTCTTGAAAACACCGTTTTCTCTTATTCAAAGACAACATGAGAGGAGTAACTTATTTATATCGAAATATTCCCGATGGTCTCTCGCCATATTATGGCTTATTTTATTCAGTCTAGACTAGAGTATATAACATGTTTGTATGTTATTTATAGTGTTTATTATATCATATTAGATCAATTCTGATAGATAAATAAGCCGTAGAGTTGATATATAAGCGTAATAATGAAGTGATTTCTCCTGGCACTCTCGGGAGCGGGAACACTGCCGAGCGTTCCCATATGGTGCCTGGTTGTCTCTAGGTCTACGGATAAGTTCCGCCTACTGTTTTATGATGCCAAATAGTCAGTTATTATATTAGAAAAAATAATGCAAGGAAAAGAGATAAAAAAAACAAGAAAAAAAATTCCAAAAAATATATGGGCTCTGAGCAGACTCGCTACCCACATCGCCGTCACCATACCTGATATAAATGACTATAATTTCTTGTAGAAACGTCGTAGAACATTCATTCTGGTACCATTGTGTTGCCAAAGAGTTAAGCTATTTTTCGGTATATATATATATATATATATATATATATATATATATATATATATATATATATATATATATATATATATATATATATATATATATATATCTCAATTTCCATAATTTTTCGATTTTTGGTTGAGCGCGCGCGGAAATTTGCCCTACAGCCCCCTGAAGACCTTCATTATATTCTACTTAATCAGTGTTTGGTTCTGAGGTTAGTAACGTATTAATTTGCATTATGGGGATACTGTTTACTGTCATATTGCAAGCCAAAATCAAGCTGAACTGGTCTTCTCAGACTCGTGGCTACATCGTTGTGGACTTTTCTCTCGGTTACTCTGACAGAGTAACCGAGATTCCTCTGTCCTTTCTAGGAATTCACAGAGACGTTCCAAGAAAGAAAAGGCAAATGACTATAGAACATCGCTAAAATATGTATAAGTCAAGTCATTATATTTTTGTTGCTAGAACATGGTTTTATTAAATGTGTGATTTTATAAGTTGATCGTCAAATAAAGAATAAATGTGTAAATAAATCTATAAAGTTCAATAAAACATTAATGAAGTTCTACTCGAGAAAATAAGAATATCTTAGAATCAGTATAAGTGTCTTCCTTCCTCTCCCGAATCAATTATTTACGAATCTCCAAGCCACCTTATTTTCCCCTCCTTTTCACTGTGTCCACCATCACCACCGTCTTTTACAGCATGTTGGTACACCCTCAGGTGACGCTGGGTATCTCCATTTTGCTCTCACTCGTCGTGTTCCTCTTGCTGGTGTCGAAGATCCTGCCGCCCACTTCGCTGGTGCTCCCACTCATCGCCAAGTATCTCCTCTTCACCTTCGTCATGAACACCGTCTCCATCCTCGTCACCGTCGTCATCATCAATTGGAATTTCAGGTGAGGCTTAGATCGAGGCTCCAGGAGGAGAATATCTTGAAGAGCTTTCGTGAGGAACGAAATGGAGACTTTTCTAGAGCCTTGTAAAAGCGAAGATAGGAGATCATTCCAAGGGGTTATGAGAGGGTGGCAGTGGGAGAGGGAGGTAGGGAGAGAGGAGGGCCTTTTTAGTGGGTTGTGAAGGAGGGAAGATTAACCTTTTCATTGCATTCTGTGAAAGGGTTCTGGACCTTTCCAGTGGTTTGGTAATGAGGGAAAGGAACATTTTCAGTACTTTGTGAGCCTGATCCCTCTAACAATCCAATGGATTGTTAGAGAGGGATTGGGATCATTCCATTGGGTTGTAAGTGAGGGACTGGGGACTTCTTCGTGTGAGTTGTGAGGATTTTAAAAGGATGTGTCCAGTTGATTTCGAGTGAGAATTCATGACTTGTCCAGTGGGGTACAAAGGGAATAAAGAGAGAGTCTTTGGTGGGTTTTGCGGAATAAGATAGATTTTCAGCTTTTGGCATAAATCGTGGTGTGGTTTCATTTGCACCTCCATCTGTTGTCACAGTGAGAATTTCTGCTGCGCTGTTCTTGGGCATTGAGAACTACAACAGGCATTTAATAATGGATCTGGACGTGACCTCAAAGCGACCATGAATTCGGATAAACCACGGAACTGAACCCATGGCAAGTGAGTCGTAAAACTCCAGGCCAGTGCATAAGCCACTCGGCCAGCTGCCTACAATTCGGATAAACTTTGTCTGGGGGTGTTTGATGGAAAGTCGATAGCTTTAAAAAAAATGGGTTTGACAAATATATTGGTAAGAATAGTTGGGCTGAGGTTCACGTTAAGAATGTTGTATATTAGTTGATTAAAAAAGACGACGCCTGTGAAGCCTTAAGGAAGGATACCGTAGATGATTCTTGAGAAGCACTAGTTTGTTCCCCACAAGCTTGACCTTAGTAGTCACTTTCACAGAGTTCCTCAAGTAGCACGTGATTTTTTTTTCTGCTGTAGACCCGTTTTCTTTTTTCCTTAATTTTGTGGAAATATCGTAAGACAAATTACAGGCACAACTAAAATCAGAATGTTAAGTTTTTTTTTACATAGTCCCGAAGTCTGAATGAATGTTTGATAACTGTAATGTCATCAATGTTAAGTTCGCTAGATGATCACTCAATTACCTTTGCTTGTAGGCTGAATATCCTCTGTTCCTATAATACTCAACCTTTCTTGTACTTGATATTCGTGTGCCTGAGGCACTGAGCGTCTCGTGCCTCCCTACCTCATTCTTAGCAAGAACGTTCCTCTGAGCGAATCCCCTGGGACCTCTTACTCATTTCTGCAACACTGCAAACTCCTGATATGTTGATTGCAGCATTAAAGCCCTGGAGCTATCATTCAACTCCTCCTGTGGTTGTTTCGCATCTCGTATAGTTCGCTTGCGATTTTTGCACAAATATATATATGTATATCAAATTTGGGAGGAGGAGTATGGAAGAAGTGAATGTTTTCAGATATTTGGGAGTTGACGTGTCAGCGGATGGATTTATGAAGGATGAGGTTAATCATAGAATTGATGAAGAAAAAAAGGCGAGTGATGCGTTGAGGTATATGTGGAGACAAAAAACGTTATCTATGGAGGTAAAGAAGGAAATGTATGAAATTATAGTAGTACCAACACTCTTATATGTGTGCGAAGCTTGGGTTGTAAATGCTGCAGCGAGGAGGCGGTTGGAGGCAGTGGAGATGTCCAGTTAAGGGCAATGTGTAGTGTAAATATTATGCAAAGAATTAGGAGTGTGGAAATTAGGAGAAGGTGTGGAGTTAATAAAAGTATTAGACAGAGGGCTGAAGAGGGTTTGTTGAGGTGGTTTGGTCATTTAGAGAGAATGAATCAAAGTAGAATGACATGAAGAGCATATAAATCTGTAGGGGAAGGAAGGTGGGGTAGGGGTCGTCCTCGAAAAGGTTGGAGGGAAGAGGTAAAGGAGGTTTTATGGGCGAGGGGCTTGGACTTCCAGCAAGCGTGCGTGAGCGTGTTAGATAGGAGTGAATGGAGACTAATGGTATTTGCGACCTGACGAGCTGTTGGAGTGTGAGAAGGGTAATATTTAGTGAAGGGATTCAGGGAAACCGGTTATTTTTATATAGCCGGACACGAGTCCTGGAAATGGGAAGTACAATGCCTGCACTTTAAAGGAGGGGTTCGGGATATTGGCAGTTTGGAGGGATATGTTATGTATCTTTATACGTATATGCTTCTAAACTGTTGTGTTCTGAGCACCTCTGCAAAAACAGTGATTATGTGTGAGGTGAAAGTGTTGAATGATGATGAAAGTATTTTCTTTTTGAGTCACCCTACCTCGGTGGGAGACGGCCGACTTGTTAAAATATATATATATATATATATATATATATATATATATATATATATATATATATATATATATATTGGTATAAAAACGACAGATTGAAGATTTAAACACTTATGCAACATATGGAATCTTTATCGAAGAAACGTTTCGCCACACAGTGGCTTCATCAGTCCATATGTTGCATAAGTGTCTCAATCTTCATATATATAATATAATATATATATATATATATATATATATATATATATATATATATATATGTATATATATATATATAATATATATATATAATATATATATATATGCAATAAGATCACAGTAAACAATAGTGGTGGTAGCAGAAATGGTAGGAATAGTAGTGGTGGTAGCAGAAATGGTAGGAATAGTAGTGGTGGTAGCAGAAATGGTAGAAATAGTAGTGGTGGTAGTAGCAATGGTAGCAGTAATAGTGGTGGTGGCAGGTGGCAGCAATGGTAGCAGTAGTAGTGGTGGTAGTAGCAATGGTAGCAGTAATAATGGTGGCAGCAATGGTAGAAGTAGTAGTGGTGGTAGTGGCAAAATGGTATCAGTAGTAGTGGTGGTGGCAGCAATGGTAGCAGTAGTAGTGGTGGTGGCAGCAATGGTAGCAGTAGTAGTGGTGGTGGCAGCAATGGTAGCAGTAGTAGTGGTGGTGGTAGCAATGGTAGCAGTAGTAGTGGTGGTGGCAGCAATGGTAGCAGTAGTAGTGGTGGTGGCAGCAATGGTAGCAGTAGTAGTGATGGTGGCAGCAATGGTAGCAGTAGTAGTGGTGGTGGCAGCAATGGTAGCAGTAGCAGTGGTGGTGGCAGCAATGGTAGCAGTAGTGGTGGCAGAAATGGTAGCATTAGTAGTGGTGGTGGCAGCAATGGTAGCAGTGGTAGAGGTGGTGGCAGCAATGGTAGCAGTGGTAGAGGTGGTGGCAGCAATGGTAGCAGTGGTAGAGGTGGTGGCACCAATGGTAGCAGTAGCAGTGGTGGTGGCAGCAATGGTAGCAGTAGTAGTGGTGGTGGCGACAATGGTAACAGTAGTAGTGGTGGTGGCGGCAATGGTAACAGTAGTAGTGGTGGTGGCAGCAATGGTAGCAGTAGTAGTGGTGGTGGCAGCAATGGTAGCAGTAGTAGTGGTGGTGGCAGCAATGGTAGCAGTAGTAGTGGTGGTGGCAGCAATGGTAGCAGTAGTAGTGGTGGTGGCAGCAATGGTAGCAATAGTAGTGGTGGCAGCAATGGTAGCAGTAGTGGTGGTGGCAGCAATGGTAGCAGTAGCAGTGGTGGTGGCAACAATGGTAGCAGTAGCAGTGGTTGTGGCAGCAGTGGTAGCAGTAGTAGTGGTGGTGACAGCAGTGGTAGCAGTAGTGGTGGTGGTGGCAGCAGTGGTAGCAGTAGTAGTGGTGGTGGCAGCAATGATAGCAGTAGTAGTGGTGGTGGCAGCAATGGTAACAGTAGTAGTGGTGGTGGCAGCAATGGTAGCAGTAGTAGTGGTGGTGGCAGCAATGGTAGCAGTAGTAGTGGTGGTGGCAGCAATGGTAGCAGTAGTAGTGGTGGTGGCAGCAATGGTAGCAGTAGTAGTGGTGGTGGCAGCAATGGTAGCAGTAGTAGTGGTGGTGGCTCGAAATGGTAACAGTAGTAGTGGTGGTAGCAGCAATGGTAGCAGTAGTAGTGGTGGTGGCTCGAAATGGTAACAGTAGTAGTGGTGGTAGCAGCAATGGTAGCAGTAGTAGTGGTGGTGGCAGCAATGGTAGCAGTAGTAGTGGTGGTGGCAGCAATGGTAGCAGTAGTAGTGGTGGTGGCAGCAATGGTAGCAGTAGTAGTGGTGGTGGCAGCAATGGTAACAGTAGTAGTGGTGGTGGCAGCAATGGTAGCAGTAGTAGTGGTGGTGGCAGCAATGGTAACAGTAGTAGTGGTGGTGGCAGCAATGGTAGCAGTAGCAGTGGTGGTGGCAGCAATGGTAGCAGTAGTAGTGGTGGTGGCAGCAATGGTAGCAGTAGTAGTGGTGGTGGCAGCAATGGTAGCAGTAGTAGTGGTGGTGGCGGCAGCAATGGTAGCAGTAGTAGTGGTGGTGGTAGCAATGGTAGCAGTAGTAGTGGTGGTGGCAGCAATGGTAGCAGTAGCAGTGGTGGTGGCAGCAATGGTAGCATTAGTAGTGGTGGTGGCAGCAATGGTAGCAGTAGTAGTGGTGGTGGCAGCAATGGTAGCAGTAGTAGTGGTGGTGGCAGCAATGGTAGCATTAGTAGTGGTGGTGGCAGCAATGGTAGCAGTAGCAGTGGTGGTGGCAGCAATGGTAGCATTAGTAGTGGTGGTGGCAGCAATGGTAGCAGTAGTAGTGGTGGTGGTAGCAATGGTAGCAGTAGTAGTGGTGGGGGCAGCAATGGTAGCAGTAGTAGTGTGGTGGTAGCAATGGTAACAGTAGTAGTGGTGGTGGCAGCAATGGTAGCAGTAGTAGTGGTGGTGGCAGCAATGGTAGCAGTAGTAGTGGTGGTGGCAGCAATGGTAGCAGTAGTAGTGGTGGTGGTAGCAATGGTAACAGTAGTAGTGGTGGTGGCAGCAATGGTAGCAGTAGTAGTGGTGGTGGCAGCAATGGTAGCAGTAGTAGTGGTTTTTTTTTGTACTAGTAGTAATTGCTGTTGTTGTTCTTCTTGTTTTTAATACTTTTGTTGTTTTTGTAATTGTTGGTGTAGTTGTTGTTATAGCAGTCGTAGTACTAAATTTTTTTTTTTTTTTTTATTCGCCGGTACTCTCCCGGCCCGGGTCTTTTCCAAGTAGTGGTGACCCGGCCTTGGCTCCCTATCTGGGAAGTGTCTCGAGACTTAAGTCTCCCATGGGAGGAGGTACAAGTACTGTTAGTGTTATTATTATATATTATTTATATTTTTTACTATATTCTTATTATTATTCTTATATGTTCTTAATATTATTTGTAGTAGTAGTAGTAGTATTACTATTATTAAAACTGCTATAATTATTATCGATATTTTTATTATTAGTAGTAGTAATATTAGTATAATTATTGACAGTTATAATTCTTATCATTAATACTACTGTTGCTACTACCACAAGTATTATTATTATTACTACAGCTTATCCTACTACTACTACTACTACTACTTGAATGTAACTATGATCAGAGCACACATCTTGACTTGCACATTGATGACGGCGTGTTTCACAGAGGACCCAGGACACACCGGATGCCTAACTGGATTCGTGTCATGTTCCTCAAGTATCTTCCTATCATGTTGTTCATGAAGAGACCCAAGAAAACGCGACTTCACTGGATGAACGAAATGAACGGTAAGTCCCATAAGATACGTTCTTCTCATTCACCACCCCGCAAATTTAGTCACCATCGTGCGACCTTCAGTCACCACCCCGTGACCTTCAGTCAACATACCTTGTGATCCCAGTCACCAACCCGTGACCTCAGTGACCATCCTGCGACCTCAGTCACCACCCCGTCACCTCAGTCACCTGTCACCACCCCATCACCTTAGTCACTGAACCGTGACCTTCGTCAACACACCGTGGCCTCAATAACCCCCTTCACCCCTTAGCTACCACAATCTCCTTTCAGCCACCACCATCACTCATCAACTACCACTTTCACCCCTCAACCTACACCCCTCATCCCGTGTGAAGCAATACTGGAGATGAGTATTGAATTATTATAGTACAAAAAGACCACTGTCTGGGCATAGGTTACTCATCTTCGTCGTTGACTGTTTAAAAGCCCAGCAGCCATTCCCTGGGGCCTCCTCAGACTTCGGCTATTTTGTTTCCCACTGGGCTGTAAGAGAGCCAGTTACTATAATTATGACGCCCTCCTGACATACTGTCGTCAGGTGTACAGGTAATGTAGGGTGAGATCACGTCTGTTACCTGTATGTGGACGTTGGACCACTTCTCACGGCGTCGATTTGGTTAGTCTTATCAACCCCACATAAATATGTTATTAGCTGCAGCAAAACGGTAAAACATGTACTTGAAAATTTACCTGAATGTATAACGTACCCATATGATATAACACCGGTATCGATGGCTTGATTGAAGTTATGACGACTGAAGTCTTCACTGCTATTCATCACGATGACACATGGAACTTCGCCTGACGACCATCACTTGGATGGTCGTGGATAATGTCCATAGTACAGAGGTTCTCCTTAATATTAGTTCATACACAAATAAGTGACACAGAGGATAGTTCCGCCGTGGTATTTACTCGCTATGTCTAGTTATTCATGGAAGGGAGTTTCTAGCGCTCGTGCGCTTAGGAGAGTTCCGTACTTGTTATCTCTTCTACGGTTCTTCCTGGAGATTGTCGAGTGCGAGTCGAGTTTCACAAAGTATATGTGGATACAGCCACGAATGTTCTACGTCTCGACACGGCATGGCCCGGCCGGAGACGCTCAATCACGTCGTCACATCGTCATTGACCGAATTCACTCGTCATGATGGTCTGCCTGTTGGAGCCTCCCGCATCTCTATTTACAGTTGCATTTCTGCTGACATAGTGTCTACGGGTATAGGTACCAGCTCTGATAACTCAACATAATTAAGAAGTGTGGATTTCTTGCGGGTTAATGAGTATAGTGCCACTAGCTATATCATCTGCTTAAGGCATATTATCTCAAATTTTTAATAGTCAGGGAAAATAGAAGCTTCCAGCAAAGAAGGAGGAGGTCTTACTCACGGCCCAATCTAAGGAGAGCATCTTGTGAACATTTAACTTAGTAAGGAACACATGTTGAGATATATGGTATGCATAATGAAGAAGCTATATTGCAAGACTTAAGCTCTTACTTCATTTCTGCTCGTGCAAAATAGAGGTAATGACCCTCTTTAGCCCACTTCTGTACTGTCAGTCGTGAGAGTGGTCGACGGTCCCTGTGGACAAAATTTCTCCACACCCCGCAACTACTAACATCATCCTTCAACCACCGCCCTCATTCCAGAACACTGCCCTCACCACACAACCATCACTTTCACCACTCATCCACCACCTTCACCACTCACCCCGCTACATTCACCAATAAACAGTCACCTTCACCACCCAAACATCACCTTCACCACTCAACCATCACCTTCACCACTCATCCACCAACTTCACCACTCAACCATCACCTTCACCACTCAACCATCACCTTAACCACTCAATCACCACCTTTACCACTTAACCACAACCTTCACAACTCAACCATCACCTTCACAACTCATCCATCACCTTCACCACTCAACCATCACCTTCACCACTCAACCATCACCTTTACAAGACACCCATCACCTTCACCACTTAACCATCAAATTCACCATTCAACCACCACCTTCACCACTCAACCTTCACCACTCAACCTTCACCACTCAACTTCGCCACTCAACCTTCGCCACTCAACCTTCGCCACTCAACCTTCGCCACTCAACCTTCGCCACTCAACCTTCGCCACTCAACCTTCGCCACTCAACCTTCGCCACTCAACCTTCGCCACTCAACCATCACCACTCAACTCACCTCACCACTCAACCATCACCACCAACCACCACTAACCTCTACTTCACCACTCAGCCATCACTACTCAACGCTTCGCCACTCTACCTTCACTCAACCTTCAACACTCAACCTTCAACACTCAACCTTCAACACTCAACCATCACCACTCAACCATCACCATTCAACCATCACCACTCAACCATCAACACTCAACCATCAACACTCAACCATCAACACTCAACCATCAACACTCAACCATCAACACTCAACCATCGCCACTCAACCATCGCCACTCAACCATCACCGCTCAACCCTCACCGCTCAACCATCACCGCTCAACCATCACCGCTCAACCATCACCGCTCCCAAACCCCACCGCCAAACCATCACCGCTCAACCATCACCGCTCAACCATCACCGCTCAACCATCACCGCTCAACCATCACCGCTCAACCATCACCGCTCAACCATCACCGCTCAACCATCACCGCTCAACCATCACCGCTCAACCATCAACGCTCAACCATCAACGCTCAACCATCAACACTCAACCATCACCACTCAACCATCACCACTCAACCATCACCACTCAACCATCACCACTCAACCATCACCACTCAACCATAAACCACACTCAACCATCAACACTCAACCATCACCACTCAACCATCAACACTCAACCATCAACACTCAACCATCACCACTCAACCATCACCACTCAACCATCAACACTCAACCATCAACACTCAACCATCACCACTCAACCATCACCACTCAACCATCACCACTCAACCATCACCACTCAACCATCAACACTCAACCATCAACACTCAACCATCACCACTCAACCATCACCACTCAACCATCAACACTCAACCATCACCACTCAACCATCAACACTCAACCATCACCACTCAACCATCACCACTCAACCATCAACACTCAACCATCAACACTCAACCATCACCACTCAACCATCACCACTCAACCATCAACACTCAACCATCACCACTCAACCATCAACACTCAACCATCAACACTCAACCATCAACACTCAACCATCAACACTCAACCATCAACACTCAACCATCAACACTCAACCATCAACACTCAACCATCAACACTCAACCATCAACACTCAACCATCACCACTCAACCATCAACACTCAACCATCAACACTCAACCATCACAACTCAACCATCACCACTCAACCATCACCACTCAACCATCAACACTCAACCATCAACACTCAACCATCACCACTCAACCATCACCACTCAACCATCACCACTCAACCATCACCACTCAACCATCACCACTCAACCATCAACACTCAACCATCAACACTCAACCATCAACACTCAACCATCAACACTCAACCATCAACACTCAACCATCACCACTCAACCATCAACACTCAACCATCACCACTCAACCATCACCACTCAACCATCAACACTCAACCATCACCACTCAACCATCAACACTCAACCATCAACACTCAACCATCAACACTCAACCATCACCACTCAACCATCAACACTCAACCATCAACACTCAACCATCAACACTCAACCATCACCACTCAACCATCACCACTCAACCATCACCACTCAACCATCAACACTCAACCATCACCACTCAACCATCAACACTCAACCATCAACACTCAACCATCACCACTCAACCATCACCACTCAACCATCAACACTCAACCATCAACACTCAACCATCAACACTCAACCATCACCACTCAACCATCAACACTCAACCATCACCACTCAACCATCAACACTCAACCATCAACACTCAACCATCACCACTCAACCATCAACACTCAACCATCACCACTCAACCATCACCACTCAACCATCAACACTCAACCATCACCACTCAACCATCAACACTCAACCATCAACACTCAACCATCACCACTCAACCATCACCACTCAACCATCACCACTCAACCATCACCACTCAACCATCACCACTCAACCATCACCACTCAACCATCACCACTCAACCATCACCACTCAACCATCACCACAAATGGTGTTACTGATATTTATCTTTTATAAATTTATTGTAGTACATCAGATTTATTATTCCCCTGAGAAATGCTCTTGATCCATATAATATAAACTGCCCTTCACCGGCTGTCACCAGTCAAGAAATCATAATACGTAACATTATTACAAACACATCAGGGAACAGATGGGATTCGAACTCATGGCGAGTGAGTGTTAGAACCTCACATGCCAGTGTGTAACCACTGGACCAGCTGGCTCTGAGATTCCTCTTCCTAAGCCTATTTCTGTACGTTGATGAATGAGACACTTATGCAACACTGATGAATTGAGCACATCGACTCCAGGCTGAGGGACTGATTATCTCATACTCCTCATCTTCCTATTATTCTCTGTATTGGACTGACAAAGTCACTGACTGACGGAACTTTTCCTCAAAAAAAAAAAAAAGATTCCCAAATGTTGTACAAGTAACTCAGTCTTCAACTTCTCGGTTTTCAAAATCATTTTCATTACATGTCTGTATGTACCATAGGTTAGCATGGGCCGAGTGGTTAACACACTGGCCTGTGAGTTTCAGGACTCACTTGCCACGAGTTCGAGCCCCACCTGTTTCTTGATTTGTAAATTTACGATAGTGTGAAAACTGCTATGCATAACAGATGCTGTTTTTTGTTTGTGTTTGTGTTTGTGTGTGTGTGTGGCAGCTGGAGTGCCTCCACACCATCACTACGGCTCACCGGAGGTCGACAAGGGCAAAATTGAACACATGGAACTCTCCAACCTTCACCATCCTAACTGCAAGATCAACAGAGAGGTGAGTATTGACTGAGCCTAGACTCGTCCACTCATTGATCCTAGACTCGTCCACTGACTGATCTTAGGCTCGTACACTGACTGATCTGACGCTCGTACACTGGCTGATCTTAGATTCGTCCTCTGACTGATCTGACGCTCGTACACTCACTGATCTTAAATTCGTCCTCTGACTGATCTGACGCTCGTACACTGACTGATCTTAGGCTCCTCCACTGACTGATCTGACGCTCGTACACTGACTGATCTTAAATTCGTCCTCTGACTGATCTGACGCTCGTACACTGACTGATCTTAGGCTCCTCCACTGACTGATCTGACGCTCGTACACTGACTGATCTTAAATTCGTCCTCTGACTGATCTGACGCTCGTCCACTGACTGATCTTAGGCTCGTCCACTGACTGATCTTAGGCTCGTCCACTGACTGATCTTAGGCTCGTCCACTGACTGATCTTAGGCTCGTCCACTGACTGATCTTAGGCTCCTCCACTGACTGATCTTAGGCTCCTCCACTGACTGATCTTAGGCTCCTCCACTGACTGATCTTAGGCTCCTCCACTGACTGATCTTAGGCTCCTCCACTGACTGATCTTAGGCTCCTCCACTGACTGATCTTAGGCTCCTCCACTGACTGATCTTAGGCTCGTCCACTGACTGATCTTAGGTTCCTCCACTGACTGATCTTAGGCTTGTCCACTGACTGATCTTAGGTTCCTCCACTGACTAATCTTAGGCTCGTACACTGACTGATCTTAGGCTCGTCTACTGACTGATCTTAGGCTCGTGCACTGATTGATCTTAGGCTCGTACATCTGACTGATCATAGGCTCCTCCACTGACTGATCTTAGGCTTGTCCACTGACTGATCTTAGGCTCGTCCACTGACTGATCTTAGGCTCGTACACTGACTGATCTTAGGCTCGTACACTGATCTTAGGCTCGTACACTGACTGATCTTAGGCTCGTCCAGACGTGTCAACAACAAAAGGGAAACCCAAAAAAAATTAGATGTTTAAATATAATTCAGATTTTAGAGAAACTTAAAAAAAATGAAAAATTGCCATTTGAAATCATTTTTTTTGTAGGCTTTGTCTGTTGTGTTTTTCAGTCTGAGTTGAATGAGCATGTTAATATGCTCGGTTAATTTAAACAAATATTTTCTTGTTAAATATGATGTTGCTTTGCTAAATAGAATGCAAATTTTTTTCGACGATACATTATGCCGTGACCTAAAATGTTGTGTGTGTGTGTGTGTGTGTGTGTGTGTGTGTGTGTGTGTGTGTGTGTGTGTGTGTGTGTGTGTGTGTGTGTGTGTGTGTGTGTGTGTGTACCATTTATTTACAAAGTACTCACACAATGGTACAGGTTACCTTTATGTTGGTAGAAAGCACCCACATGATAGTACAACAGTACCATACGAATGATGGTATAAAGCACAGACACGATGGTACAAAGTACCCACAATATGGTACAAAGTACCCATGATATGTTACAAAGTACACACAATATAGCACAAAGTACCCACAATATGGTACAAAGTACCCATAATATGTTACAAAGTACACACAATATGGCACCAAGTACCCATAATATGGTACAAAGTACCAATACAAAGTACACATAATATAGTACAAAGCACCTACAGTATGGTACGAAGTACCCACAATATGGTAGAAAGTACCCACACGATTGTACAAAGTACTCACACGATGGAACAAAGTACCCACACGATTGTACAAAGCACCCGCACGACGGTACGAAGTACCCGCACAATGAGCATAAGAGCATAAGGATGGAGGAACACCGTAGCAGACTTACTGGATGTATAAGACACAGACGCGATATTGAATCTTCACTATATTTAATTTTAAGTCTGCCTTAACTGAAATGTATAACTACACGTTTTTCAATGTCTGATAAATCTGTATTTAATTTAATACTTTGTCTCATTGAAAATAAACTTTAAAGAGGTCCACTTAGGCAGGAACTTTATCACGTTAATGGTTACCTTGACTAAGCTCACTGCGTCAGTGACATGTCGGTAGTTAAGATCGGAGAAGTGGCAAATGCAGTTCAACGCTGATAAATATATGGTTTTAATCTTAGGAAAAGAAAATGACTGTGATATCTATAAGCTAAATAATGTAGATCTTAATTAAAGTGACTGATGTGGTCAGTCCCTCAGGCAGAGGGACTAACCACATCAAAACTACGTAATCGAGGACGATGAACTGATTATATCATATTTAAACCTCCACTACTTCGGCTACTTCCTATATATTCGACTGAGGAAGCTTATTGTGTAGGCGGAGAGTTTCAGAATAAAGATACCAAACTGATGCACATGTATTATTTAACTATCGAAAACCTTTTCTTCGAAGATAGGCTGAAGACACCAAACTTACATTCGTCGCAACAGCGTAGAATTATACACAATGTAACAAAATTTCACTTTTGTCGTGTTCCTGGGAAATAAGCATCATTTCCCAATTTTTTATAATTAAACAAAATTTGAAAAAGAAATTTTAATCCCAGAACTTTGCTTTTGTGGTCAGGACACTTCTGGAAAACTTTCAAGAAAGACTGTTGTAAAACTATTATGTTCTAAGGTTTTGCCTTGTGGGAGAAGTGATTGAAGTGTATCAATGGAAAACATGAAATAATATATAAAGGGATATAAAGAGCGGATTCAAAATATCTACCCAACACAGGACTCGCAGCAAAGGATTCAGGTTGGAGAGATTTAGAATTAGGAAAGATACAACGAAGTACTGATTTGGCAATAGAATTGTAGGTAAGTGGAGCAAACTCAGGTAGCGTCATTGAGGCAAGAACTTTGAGTACATTTTAATATAGGATGGGCAGTTACATCAGTGGGTGTGGATGGGTGCGAGTTGGACTTGCCTAGTATGGGTTAGTAGACCTGCTGCAGTGTTCTTTCATTATTGATAATAATAATAATAACAGTAATAATAATAATAATAATAATAATAATAATAATAATAATAATAATAATAATAATAATAATAATTTCTATAAAGTTACAAAAAATAATTGGTACAGGAATAGTTGACATATCTGCAATACTTGAGAGAAAGACTCAGGTTATGCAGAGTATTTCTGGCAGTCTTAAGAATAACTTAAAACTACAGACATTTATAAGATTAAGTTGGTTTACTTGAAGCTAAGAGTTATAGTCTCTGACACATATTCTGACTTTTTGTTTTTAAGACTGTTATAATGTTTATAGTTGTTATGACTTATGAGGAAATAAATTGATGATTGTGAAGGTTATTGAGGGTAAACTGGAGTTCAATATAACGTGTCTGTGAGAAATGTGTTCATGTGAAGGTTTCATATTATTTCTGTCTAAATATGTCCACCTAGTTGGTTCAAATATTCATAAGTAAACGGGAGAAATACGACTGTGGGGTAGAAACCTTGGTAATAAATACTGACAAACTGGTTTAGAAAGACAAGTGATCAAGGTCCCAGGACCGAAACGTTTTCTAATAAAAATGTCCTAGTGTTTGCTCACCAAATACGATTGTAGTCCGGTTCTCTCAGAGTAAATAGTGTGTGTGTGCTTAAAAGAATGAGAAGAATAAAAGCCAAAACACTGTAAATGGAACAATTCACAACAAACCCATGAATGTGGAATGAAAACTGTTCCGTTCTAAACCATGATGAAGCCACGAGTGGCTCGCTTTTTTTTTCTCTCTCTCTGTCGTGACTTGATGGCCGATTTGTGGAAGAGTTGTGGAATTGGTCCAGCCACGGCATTGTGGAGTACAGCTTCCAGTTCTAGGCGACGAGACGGAAAGAATATCAGTAGCAGTCAGTATGTTAGTCTTAATTTGAACTACTTTCAGAGGGGGCTTAAAGAGGCTCCTTACCCCAGCCGGGTCGGCCACTCTGGGTAAGATATTGGTCCTAATCGAGTAGTCTCCACTATTGCAGATGCCTAGACGCGAGTCTGAGAGCTCAGACTCGCTCTTCATTACCCCTGAGGCGTACAAGGCGACGGAGGCTGTGGAGTTCATCGCAGAGCACCTCAGAAACGAAGATGAGTACATCCAGGTGAGTGTGCTGATACGTCAGGGGGAGATGAGTACATCTGGGTGAGTGTGCGGATACGTCAGTGGGAGATGAGTACATCCAGGTGAGTGTGCGGATGCGTAATGGGGAGATGAGTACATCCAAGAGAGTTAACGAAAAGGGAGTAAGGGGTTCATTGGGAGATGAGTTAATGTAAGTATTTGTGCATCCAGGTGAGTATGAGTACAAATGAGCATGAGTACACTCGTGATATGAGACATCAGGGGATGAGTACATACAAGGGGGCCTGAGGGGAAAAGAATACTTCTGAGTACGAGTACCTCCAGGTGGGTATGAGTTCATCCAGGTAAATATTAGTACACACAGACGAGTATGAGTACATCCATATAAATATGAGAACATCCAACTGAGTTTACAACTGCCGGGGGAAACCCGAGAAACGTCCAGTCACACATACGGGGAAAAAATTAATGGCATGGGAGAATAAAGAAGGTACGAATTCCCTACGAGGAGAGATGCTGCAGGGTGGAGATCACATGAACGATCTGTAGGGAAGTCTTGAGAAGGCAGAAATGTGAATACGTCATGGGTACTTCGAGGAACAACGACGAACAAGTCAGTAATGCTAAGAGGAAGGCCGAAGGACAAGTTATGAGTACAAAGAGGAAAGCAAGAGGCGAATGGAGAGGAAATGTAATACAAATTTTTCCCTAGAAAGAGAAAGAGAGAAGGACAACCCTTAACTTAACCTTGTAAAACCCTTGTGTAAAAACAAAAGAGAATGAGAGAGAGGTGAGATAGAGCTCAGTAATTTGTTCTTTCAGTATAAACATATGTATGTTACTGTTAGGAAGGACATGGATTAGCTTAGCAACATACATGGGTTGGGGCTATTACAAAACAAGAGAGATTAAGCTCGGAAAAAACGCACATTGGTTAACTTAGGAAAAATGTACATGAGGTAAGCTAAGGAAGAACGTACATGAGGTAAATTCATAGAAAACGTACACGAGGTAAACTTAGGAAGAACGCACATACATGAGGTAGGGTCACTAAGAATGTGCATTAAAAACGTGCACAAAAGTTCACCAACTGATACAAATATCGTAGGTGAAGCATATGTCACGATATCTGTGAAAAAATTACCCATTATTGATACTGTATTAACACTAAACGCGTTACTGACTGATTTCACAAACCACGAGGACTGATGTTATTTACTAGTGGGAAGAAAATAAGTCAGGCAGAGCGCTGAGTTATTTGTCTCGAAAGTGGTACTAGGTTTCGCGTGTGTTGCTCTAACATGCATGAGCAGGACAGTACTTTCTCGCTACGTAGCAAGGATATACAGTGTTGAAATAAGAATGGGTGCAATAAATAGTATGCCTACCAAACAAACATGGGATACTCATTGACATGTGCGTTTTATCTATGTTGTTGGGAGGACAGTGGAGCAACGTAGTATATTCTCCAGCTCTCGCTAGTAATTTGGCCTAGTGAGAGAGATTCACAGTAAACTGAGTTTCATTATTCCTGTGAAGACAACGACTAGTTCATCTGACAAAGACAAATGGGTGATATAATCTCTTGGGAAACGCGAATTTGGCAGATGTTTGCCTTAAATGTCACTGATAATTTAACGCGAGCAGAGCGATAATTATTAAGATTATTCGTACCTAGAAAGCAGGAAGTATCACTGACATTCTAATGTAAACAAAACTTGAGTTCTTCTTACATGAAAAATTTTATAATATCGAATATCAAGTTATGTAAGAACATTTTATTTCTATGAAATGTCTCAGTCTGAATATAGTGCTTCAGGCAGATATATTGCATAGATTGTTACTTACATAATTTTGGAACACTATAGACCTCTGTTGGTAGATTTAGAATTTTGTACGTGAATGAGAGGTGTTGGAACTTATTCGGTCCGAGAAGCCCCAACGGGGAAAAACACACCGTTCGAGGGCCCTTACACCCACCCAAAAACAAAAACACACTCTCCCAGTTTGGCGTTGGTGGATGGTAGGTACTACTTAATTTATAGATTTACCCTTCAGGGAAGAAGTAGGTAGTTATACTGTTAGTACACTAATATTAGGATTATTGAGGCAACTGTAGATAATAATAATGTAGACCTAAGACCTTAACATAGGTAGTAATAGGCCGATAATGTAGGCAAACACTAGGTTAAGTCAGCCAGGGAGAGCTGGCAGCCCAAGTTTGAATGCTGGGGCACGGGGTTTC